AACAGCAGACACTGATCTGACCATCCCCAAGCTCAGCGGCCATATCTGGAGGGAACACTCTCCCGAGACCCCCACTCGCTTTGATTGACTTGCATCGATACCACAGAGCCGTCCACACACTGTCAGTGCAGCAGATTGAGGAGGGGCCTGATGAGAGAATAAACCAGAAAATAGCTTTAGACTCTAGCCGAGGCTTCTTGACCACTGGGATTTCTGACGAAGCTGGAGTCCTAGGGGGAGTGATCTAGGCTTCCAGGGTGCATTTTTTCCGCTCAGTGTGGAGGCAAGGCCTTCCAGATGAAGCACATTTTTTACCCTGGGTGGCGCTTCAGACTTTGCATTCCACTGTAATGACTCAGCAGACAGCACGCAGTGGGAAGGGCACAGGTCAGGCAGGCACCTGGCAGGGAGCAGAGGGAGCGGGGCAGTCTGTGGTGGATCGGAGACGGGAGTCCCTCCAGCCCTCTGTCCGCGCCCGCCGTGTCCGTGACCCTCCATGGGGGCAGGGTGGGTGATGCCCATGAAGCAGAGGGTGACGTTCCTGTCCTGTAAAGTCACTCTCACAAACCAGCCACCAAGCCTGTGCGGGGCCAGCTTTTCTTCACTGCTTCACAGGTGGGCCAGCGGGAAATGGTACCAAGGTGGAGGTGCGGGACTTCGGTGACAACCATCCCTGGCACGGTCAGCTGAAGGGGACGGTGGCCTAGCAGTTAGGAGAGAGGACTCTGAAGCCAGATAGGTACCTGGGTCCCAGCACCCCGGCTATGTGATATCAGGCTCTGCCCCCACAGCCCCATCTGTAAAACGGGGGTCCTCCCGTGCTGGTGGCTGAGGAGGTGCAGCCGGGGCAAAAGACAAAACTTGCCTGGCCCACCGAGACACATTTCACAGAAAGCCCCTCTGTAAAGGGTCTGAACCACTTTTCACTCTTTTACCTGAAAATGCATTTGTTAGTGTTTACTCCATTTGATCTTTGCTGATTCTTGGCAGGCGTGATGCGAGGCCATTGCTTTTTAAAGTTCTAAATAAAACCACCGCCCGGTGGCAGGAAGCCCTCTGCTGGGTGCGTACTCCACCCTCATTCTGATGGGAGCCCCACAGGGCCACGGCCTCCTTCCGGGTGGGAGCCGGCTGGGACAGCGGTGAGTCCGCCCAGCTGGGCCCCAGGACACAGATGGGGTCAGTGGCCCTGTTGGCACCGCACGAAAGCCGGGGCCCTTCTGCTGTGTGCTTCCAACACGCGGGCATTATTGGATTCCAAGAACTGGCCTCCTGCCTGGCGGTCAGGGTCCCTTCTGTGAGCTGTGGCTAAGTGCCCCTGGGGGCTGAGGCTGGGTGGGTACTAAGAAATAGAACCCACCACACTTGTTTTAAACCAGGGATAGCTCTCTGATGAGCAACCTGATGGTCCTCTCAGATCTGGGCAGCCAAGAGTCACATGTTAGGAGCTAATTCTGGTGACGGTTCTTTAGAACTACATGGGGTCCCTGCAGGAGAGCTGGGAGTGACCTGTGGCATGAAGATGGCTGTGGGAGACGGCACTGTGGCCTGTGTGAGACCCCCCCACACACGGGCCAGGCAGTCAGTGGGGGAAATAGGTGGCCCAGAGGTGAGGACAGCTCCGCCCTCTCCAGCCTGCCTGCCAGTTACATCCCCGAGCGGCTGAGTGAGGTCACACAACCCGCTCAGCCCGGTCCCTGCCAATCGATCGGCACTGTCAGGCCACAGGAGAAACCTGTTTGCTGTCCTGGCACAAAGCCGCTCTGATGCCGTCATGCTTCTGACCTCACCGATCGCCACCTTCAGGGCAGACGGCAGCTTCCATAGTAACCTTGAATCTGGCTGGACTGGCCCATTCGCCCAGACATAGTTCTCTTCCGCACAACCTCAGTGAGGCTGGCCCCGCTCCTGTGGCATTTGCCTAGCACCCTCCTTGCCACTGCCCGAGGCTCAGGGCTGTCTGAAGTGTTAGCCTGGCAGGGGAAGCACCATGCAAGTCCTAATAAAAATGCATGTTCTTCATCATCCGTAGACATGGGCATGCTTCCAGATTCTCAGATGGAAACATGCAGCCAGGAAAGAGAAGGACAGCTCCCACTCTGCAGGGCCCAGGAAGCTCAGGGCACAGATCTGATGTGGAGCCTCTCTCCCGGCCAGGGCAGGGCTGGATGGGGACCCTCAGGTGACGCAAATGTGCTGGGGAAATGAAGCCCTGTGACTGGCAACACTGGAAGTTTTGCGAAAGCTGAACGCAAAGGACCAGAGCCGAAGGAGCGGAGATTGGGAGAGGCAAGGGTGAGTGGGAAAGAGACAGGGGGGAGGGGTAGCTGCTGAGTCACCAGCCAGTGGGGCTGTTTGGGGGCCCGAGAGGACCAGGAAGAACCACACACTGAGTGGGGGCTGCCTGACCACCTCCCTGAAGCGGAGGTGGGCCCAGGCCAGTGCAGAGATGGAAGGACCTGGAGTCTTGGTTCTTTGAAGGTAAAGGTGAGTGGGGAGCACCACACAGAGGCCATGGGTTCAGACCTCCCGGGCTCACAGCCCCCCACTTGTTAGCTCCGTGACTTGAGCAAGATGCTGAATTTCTGAGCATCACTTTCCTCGCCTGTGGGAGGGATAAATTTAGCAACTACCTGAGGGTGGAGCTGAGGAATTGAACCAGCTAACAAAGGCAACATGCTCAAGCTGACGTCTGTCACACAGCAAACTACCACCCAACAGATGTCGGCTTCTGTGATTGTCATTACAGACCAGAACAATAGCAGGCTAATCACCAAAGCAGCCAGCAGCTGTATTTACCTAGTGGCCCAGTGCCATTATGGTGAACCCTCACCACTCCAGGGCAGGCAGACATTGTTAGTGTCCCCGTTTCACACCAGGGGAAACGCAGGCTCAAAGCCATTGGTTCCCGGCACGTATGCGGCCAGCTACGGGAGCGCTTACCAAGTGCCATGTATTGATTCATTTAATCCCCAAACAGCCACAGGAAGTAGGTGCAATGATTATCCCCATTTTACAGATGGGCAACAGGCAAAGAGAGGTTAAGGAGCTGGCTCAAAGGTCACCCAGCCAGTAATACACAGGTAGTAGCATTGAAGTCCACGCTCTTTTGAATCAGCTCTGCCTCCCAGGTTTAAGGCTTATTGATGTTACAGAATCTCCAACACAGCCCAAAGCAAGAAGAAACAGGCCTGCCCAGTGGGGCTCAGTTGGTCGGGCGCGTCCCTCAAAGCCAAAGGTCACTGGTTTTATTCCCAGTCAGGGCGCATGCCCCGGTTGCGGGCTCAGTCCTGGGGCGGGGTGCGAGTGAGTAGCAACTCCTCCCTGTTTCTCTCTCACACCTCGTCACATCCGCGCTTCCCTCCCTCTTTTCTCCTTCCCTGCTCCTTTCTCTAAAATCTTTTCTTTTTTAAAAGAAGACGAAGAAGAAACATATGTCCTGGAAGGTCTGCAGAAGCCACAAGGATGAGTGTGGGATGCGGGGCGAGCAGCCCCGCAGGTCGGTGCGATCCTCACCAGGCCCAGGACCCCGAGGGGCGGTGCGGCCATGGGCCAAACTCATGATGCCCCAAGGCGTGTGCTGAGCTGCCGTGTCTGTGGCCTTGGATGCCACTGCACATGCAGGCAAATCTCCAACCCCACCCAGAGCCGCTGGAGCTCAGGGACATGCTGCTGAGTGTTGACAGAGGACTCAGGCCAGTCGGCTGCCAGGCTCGTTCCTTCCAGAGGGACCATCTGTAACCTCCCAAGCGTGACAGGCTGGAGAGAGATGGGCGCCACCCAGCGCATCCTCCCCAACGGTGGCTGTACCTCAGCCCCGGGAACCACCCAGGGGAGAGGCCCACAGGCCAAACAGCTGAGGAGGAGGGTCTGTAGCCACAGGCCCCGCTCTGAGTCATCATCCTCTTTCAATGGACAGGGAGGGGACGCCAGCAGTGAAAGGACTTACCAGCTCCTTCCGGCCCCTATGAGGTCATCTGAGCGGAGGGAAGAGGGATGCACCAGGGTTGCACCGGACACAGCTGCTCAGCTGCCTCGGGTCAACACTGACGAGGCCTTTGCTGAACTGGATTGTTCCTACGTTTCACTTGGGCTGTGGGCCTTCCACGGCCTCTCCTGTTTTGAATTGATCTCAGAGGGCCTAGTGTCCTATCGATCCAGGAAGGGCTAAGCTCTCCACCTGGAGAACTGAACCTCCATCCAGTCTGAGGCCCCCCTTTTGCCTGATGACTCTTAGAGGGCTGTTGACCGTCTGCTCTTGCTGCAAACATGCCCCTCTCTGGTGTGTGCTCCCTCAGGGCTCAGACCTGTGTAGACTTTCAAGCTAACGTTTTCCAACAGGCTTCTTGGGTCCAGCTCCCCGAGCCCCCGGAAGCCTCTGCAGAGGCAGAGACGCCTCCAGCTGCCCGAGGCTGTGCCTGCTCCGGGCCGCTTCCCGGGCCGCCCTGCTCTCCACCCGCCAAGGCTTACGGTCTGTTTTTCTTTCAGAGCCCGAAACAAGTGGACTTGCCTTCCTCGGCCTGTGCTTTCTGGGGATTGAGGACAGTTTCTCATCACATGCCAGTCTCCTGCAGTGTCTCCCTTTCAAAAAACAAAAGGCCTGGCTTTTTGACCGAACTCTGGGGAGAAAGGGGCGGGGTCTGTTTTGCTCCGCATTCAAGCCTGTACCCTGGGTCCTGAGCCCAGTGCAGAGCAGGGGCCCAGAAACCCTGTGCGGACTGACTGCATCGTGGATGAGGTTGACTGACTCCTTCTAGCTTGAAAAGCCCCAGACACAAGTGCAGCTGCCCTCAAGTCCAATTTCACAAAGCCAGGGCAGACGGCATGGACGTTCGTGACACCAGGAAGCCCCACAGGGTGACTCTGAAATAACTGCTATGACTCCAAGCTCAATGCTGTGTGGACAAGTTTCACGAGAAGCCCGCTGACCCTATAATCGCCTCCAAGAAGCTGCAACCAGCTGTTTGAGGAAAGGAAAGGAAGCACACCAGAAAGCGAAGTATGAAGAAGTATTTTAATAGCTCAAACTCAAAGCCATCGTGCTCCCAGTTCCAAGGAGGTGGCCCAGAGAGGCAACTTTGGCTCACGTGGAAGCCAGCGTCCGCCCTCCTGCGGTCGGCATCTACCTGCTCTGGGTGCTGACTCAGAGGAAAGCAAACCCACGCCCAGGGCCGCTGTGGCTCCCCTGGGGCTTTCCTCTTATCTACGCGTTACATCAATGGCCTTCCTGGGACTGGGATGATGACTCAGTTGAAGTAGACGAATGTTGGCTGTCTAATAAGCAGGAACGGTCCAGGCTGGCAAGAAAAAGCACACTGCGCACATACGATACAGGAGGGCGAGTCTCTGCCTGTGGACCTACAAGGTACATGGGTTCTGCCTGCACACTATCAAGGAGAGGTCCGTTGGCCAGGGTGTTTCTGCTGAACAAGCAACACGGCGGTCAGAGTCTTGGGCGTCCCGTGCCACCAGCCCAGAGTCACTGTGCACCGTCCAAGGAAGAGCCTTCGAAGGAAACATGAAGTCCAGCTCATGCCTCTGCCTACGGGTCGATTTCCTCCGGGGTCACCGTGAGCATCACGTCTTCATTGCCCCGGCGAACAACCATGTTCAGGGTGTTTTCCTTTTTAATGACGTCGCTGACGTCGTTGGCGGAGACCACCGACTGTCCATTGATGCTAATGATGACATCATTTTCCTTGAGCCCACCGCTGCAACACAAGGAGAAAACAACTGTGATGCTGTCCTTCCTCCAGTCTAAGTGCCAGGAAAGGTGACCGACTTGACAGTGGCAGAGGTGCAGTTTAGGACCTAGAAGCCCCAGGCGAACAGGGTGGGTGGTCGTGAACTTATGTGACTTAAACCCCTGAAGGACTGCATTATTTCCTTTTGAGATCAAGTCCATCACAGAAATGCCTGCCAGCACTCGTGGGACCCACGGCAGACTGACCACAAAGGAGGCACAGATGTGCCATATTTACCCGCCATGTGCCATGGCCAAGGCCAACTCTCTTGTAATGGGCATCACAGCCCACAGAGCCGTTCCTACAGGGATGGGTGGAATGGTTCTCTCAGGGGACACTTCTTCCAAGTCATTGTTGCTGTAACTGTAGCTCTTGTGAATGACAGCATCAGAGAAGCTGTCCCAGCCTTAATGGTCTAGCACAGGGGCCAACTAACTACTTCTTCACAGGGCCAGACAGGAAACATCTTAGTCTTTGTGGGCCTTACTTGTCTTCTGTCACAGCTACTCGCCTCTGCTGTTACCCTCAAAGCCACCGTCGAGGACATTTCCTGTATTGGGTAGGGCTGTGTTCCAGTGAATCTTCACATACAGACACTGAGGTTGGAATTTCACATGATGTTTGTGTGTCATAAAATACTATTCTTATCTAAAGTGCTTTCAAGCATTTAAAATGCAAAACCTATTCTTAACCTCTGGGTGGTCCCAGAGCAGGCAGCCCACCCAACCTGGCCCCCTGGTCGGCTGCCCTCCTCTGGGTGTCAGGTCAGTGCAGGTGACAGACCCTGACTGTAGGCTGCGCTACTTCTTCCCATCTCACTTCGCTGCTGGTACTTGGTTATTCTTCTAGAGCCATGGACAGGCCTGGCCGGACCTGTAACAGACGCGATTAGAGGAGGAGGCACAGGGGCCCTGCTCCTTAAACCCTCTTCCCCAGCCAGGCCTGTCCGGAGACTCATCGTGAGCCCACAGCTCCTTCCATCTAGATGACCCCTCATGAATCGAGGACTTTGGAAGGCAGGAAGCTCCCTTTTGCTGGTGAGTCCTAAGCGGAACCAGGGAGGAAGGCCCAACTGGCAGGACTGACCGAGGACGTCCAACCAATTTGTCCAGATCCTCACAATCACCTGAGCTGACGTGAAAAGGGCACAGCCCTTCCCACAACCCCCAGGGACTACAAGGTATTCGGAAAAGGAAAAGAAATTCCAACTCACGCTTCCGCGGGGGTGTCAGGAATCACTTCGATGATATATGCTCCCGAAAGCACATCCGGGAAGTCTCGGTGGCGGTCCTTCAGCTCCTTGGCCTTGCTGTTTAGGAGAAAAAGCCCGTGTTGACATTAAGTACCAACAGGCCCTCCACTGCGGGGACCCGGCTCCCACCCGGCTTCTCCTCCTGTCCCTGAGTCCAAAGTAAAATCCCTCCAGGAAACCTGATTCTGCTTTAAATTTCCTGTCCATGAGACTCAGAGATTTACCAGGTAACAGTAGGAGAAGTGTTTCATCATTATCATTAATTTTATTCATTAACTGATAGTAGCTACCATTCAAGGAGTCAGCATCAGATAGCAGTTGGCTTGTCTGAAGCCTCAGCTCTGTCACCTTCTGTGTGACCTTGGGCTGCAGCTTAACCTTTCTGTGCGTTAGTTTCCTCAAATGCTAAAGGGGGATCATGGCTCAGCTCTGTGACGTGGGTTGTTGGGAGGATTAGATGGAATCACCTGCTTGCAGCACCAGGCCCTGGTGCAGAGCAAGCAGGTGACGAACAGTGGCTAGTGTCACTGTGGCTGTGCTCGTTGTCACCACCCACTTGGACACACGTTAAACCACTCGGTCCCCATCACACACCCAAATGCCTACAATGGTATCCTCATCCTGGACATCAGGAAACAAAGGCATTTCAAGGCCACGTCAGTCTCAAGGTCACAAACCAGGACCTGGCCAAGCTCAGACGAGAACCCAGGAGGCCGGACCCCAGGCTGACACCTCTGTCTCCCATAGTTCAAGGCCAGAACTGCTGCCCATTTTAGTCTTGGCTAAGAAAGGTACCAGCATTCATAATATGTATCAAGCCTCTCATATAGGTTCACAGTTAATTCATAATTAATTATAATAATAATATAGTAATGTCTACATGAACATGCTCTGCCCTTTGCTGAGTTTACCTACAACAATTTCAACCACGCCCTTGGTTACCAACATTCATGTGATTACATCAGATTTCTTCACCAAGGGTGAAAAACACCAGCATGTTATGGGCCTGGCGGCCACATGCCACAACTTCCACCAGCTCAGAAAAACAAGCCCATCAACCTCTGGGCCTGGCCTGGCATTCCTGGAGCCTCGGCCCACAGGCGGCAGAGCAGTGCTGGCGGGGCGGGGTGCGCTGGCACGGAGGGAGGTGCCCGGGGCACTCCCGGAATGTGGGTTTCCACAGAGCGAGTGGCGAAAGCAAGGCCTGAGGGAGAGTGACCAACACCACCTGCTGTTCAGACCAGCCTTCAAAGAGGAGGGCAGAATGTTCTAGAAGGAAGGCCCTTTTTAGAACACAAAAACAAACTAAAAGGTAAAGCAAGAGGTCAAGGATAGCAACCCCCCCCTCTTTCCTAATGTGGCACAGTTTTAATCAGAGACTGAGAGATCTTAAAGCAGTGTAGAGTTTCTCTTTTAGGGGTACCAGCCAGCACCTTCTGAAGTTCAGGTTCATTTACACTTTAGACATAGACACACATACATCCTGCTACCCACCTGGATGTGAGCGACATCATTCGGATGCCAATGTACTTCTTCTTAGTGATGGCTTTGCCTGGTGGGACAACAAAAGGACAACGGAGGGCAGCACGGTTGGTGGCTGTGCTGGGGACACCAGGACCCATGAGGTCCAACCCCCAGTTTGCAGTGGAGAAGGTCAGGGTCAATGGGGACACAGACCGAGACTGCAGTTCAGATTTGGCTGTGGGACCTTGGAAAGTCCTGTCACTTCAGTTAATGGCCAAAAACCCTGGGTGTGGTCCTTGATTCCTCTCGATGCCACCCTGACACCTGATAGGGGTTCCAGCCTCCCTACAAACCCAGATGTGGCCCCATCTGTCCACCCTGGCCTGGGCAACTGGGACAGCCTCTTGCCTGGTCTCCCAACTGCCACCCGCCCCTCCACCTGAGTCACCTCCCAGCCCCGAGAGCGACCTTTCAAACACATCAACCAGATCTGAACATCACTGTCCGCCCTGCAGCTAATGTGCCCCTCACCCCGGCCAGCGGTGACCCTGGTGGGCTTCGCTCCGCACCTGAGCGCTCACCGCATCCAGCTGGCAGGCCTGCTGTGGGGCCCGGGGCTCACCACGCTGTGCCCAGGGCGGACGCCCTGGCCCCCCGTCAGGACGCTCTCCCCCGACATCCCTACCTGCTGGCTCTCACTCCTTCAGGCCCCAGCTTAGAAGTTGCTTCCAGCCACACCACCTGCACCGGCTGTCCCTGCCCCCGGCTGCCCCCCGCTCCCCAGCTCCCTAGCCACTACCCTGCTTCCTGTTCTGGGAAGCATGTCCTGCTATCTGAAACCCTCCTATTTAATTTGTCCACCATCAGCCTCCCCGCTCCCCCAGGTAGAAGGTAAACAACACCCCTGCAAGGGACCCCCAGCCTGACCCCGAGCAGATGGGTCCATAAACACTCATGGAATGATCTCCCCACACCTCAGCTTTCTCCTTAGTCAAATGGGACCGATGACCCCTCCTGAGAGGGCACGGAAACTAAACGACACGAGCGAATCGAGAATCGAGGGTTAGGCATCGCCCAGGATGGTGCCTGGCACACAGGAACCCGTGTGAAGTGTCCCAGATCTCAGGTCACAAATGGCACATCTCTGCGACCTAACACGGGGGCTCACCACACGCAGCCCTTTCCCTTCCTGGCTGAAAGTCTCGGGGTCTTTGGTGGGCCATTCTCCCGCCCCAAGTCCCGGAGCAGCGGCCAAGCCTCGGCTGCCCCTGCCACCGGCTGTGGGGGCCTCTCTCTACCTTTGGCCTGTCGGTCGTGCGACTCCGTCAGGAACTTTTTAATCTTATCCGAAGGAATGGCAAAGGAGATTCCGGCTGTCACTTTCAGAGTGTTGATGCCAATCACTTCCCCGTCCTGAAAGGCAAGACAGAAAGGGCTTCCTGAGCCCCCGAGGTTCACCTGAAGATGCACCCCAAGAGAGAACGGAGGATCTGTACTGATGAAGAAGTCTTTGAGTGGGGTGGGGGGAGGGGTTGAGGGGGCCCAGGGGACGGGCATCACTTAGGCAGCGTTAAGTCCCGCTCAGCAAGGGCAGACCCACACCCGCTCTGGCTGTCTCAGGGGCCACCATGCAGTAGAAACTGCCTGGGCCAGAAAGTTCCATGACACGCACTTGACCTTTCACGGGGAAGGGTCCCCAAACCTCGGAGTCCTTGGGGTGGCTGTGCACACCCCTTGCTTCTCCCATTTCCATGACCTCAGCATTGCTCTGCTCATTGGGAGGATCAGGATGGCCTGCTCCATTCCCAGAAATGCAGTTTCCAACAGCAGCCCGGGGCAGAGGTGGGTGGGGGCAGAGGGGGTGCACAATGGCCTCATTTCCTCTGCTTGTCTGGGACTAGCTTGAAGTCATGGAAGAAGCCAGTCTACAGGGAGTGCTTTGATTCCAGATAAATCCAGTTTAGTCAACGCTACTCAGTCGGAAATGATCCGGGAATAACAGCTCACCTCACCTCACGCCATGCGACCATCACTCTGAATACTCTTGGTAAATGGTTTGTTCAACTCAGGCTTGAAAGGGAAACCAGCCAAGAGAGTATAAATCACTCCTTGCACACTTCCCGTAGCACTGAAATGCCGTCCCCAACCCCAGGGGACCCTGGAGGAGGCGTGGCCACCCCGGGCCTTGCTAAAGATGGCCTCGGTTGCGTCCCTTGCAGATGAGAAGTGAGACTTTCAGCTGTGCCCTGGCCCTGACAGTCAGCTCCTGGGGCTTCAGTGACATCTTTGACAGTGGGGTAACTCCTCATTCCAGCCAGGCCTGAAGGGAGGGCTCCTGGCCAAGACAAAGACTGTGGACAAGTCCAGACGGCTCCTCCAGCAGCCTGGAGGCTTCCGTCTGGAGGAGCCGTCCTCCTGGGACAGGTCAGAACTGCTGACACCTTCAAAGTAAAGGCCTGCTCCTCCAGCTACTCCGGCAGGGGACCTGAATGCCACTGCACTTACTCATGACTTGGAAACACAAGTGTGTCCCCTGGTATAACTTACAACCCTGGGCTGCAGCACACCTTACTCTGTGCAGAAAGATAGGAAGGGTCATTTGCAAGGATACAGTACATTCATAGATTTCACTTTAAAAGAATTAACATGCTGGGCAAGTTCATGTCTGAAAAGAAAGCAAAAGAAAAATAGCACATACACAGGTTTTTAAAAAGGGCCTTACCAGGTTCACTAATGGGCCTCCCGAGTTTCCATACTGAAATTAAGCAAAAATCCAGAGGTTAGAGTTTGCACCCTTCCCTGCTCCAATCTACTTCACTGCCTGGCAGGTTTCTGAGTACAGGTTCTTTCCTGTGATTTGTTCCTGCCTTCCTAATATTTTGCTGGGAGAAAAGGGACCTTAACCATTTTCAGAAAGTTTTAGATATGCCGTAAGTGGATTTTTTTTCCTCCAAAGCTCGGAGGCCAACTATGAACTCCCTAAAACACCCAACACAACTTTTTCTTGGAAGCAGCCCGGCGGCCCACCGCGGCCGTGCGCCGGCACTTCAGTCTGCACAGTACGGACCTGTGGGATCCCTACTTTGCTGCGGGGGCTGGAAATCCGCGTGGCTCGTTCTCTTCCCATTCCTTCATGCGGACCACCAGAAAGCTTGGGAGCAAAACCCATCAGAGGCGGCGAGTGCACAAAACGCTGTGTCTCTTGTTTATTTTAGATGGATGTAGGGGGGAGAAAGCATTGCTTTTTACAAACGGCAACCCTACTGGGAGATCACTGAAGTGGAAAAATGTGATTTTAAAAAGATTCCACTTCCGAGGTAGTATGGAGCAAGCAACCCCTGGCCTGATTGGGCATCAGATAGTGGAGGGGTAACACTCAGGTGGCGCCCCAAACCTCTGCTGGCACCTAGAGGATCGGGCCCCACCCCTGGTCCCCAAGCCCGGCTTTCCAAACACCTGCCCAACCCCAGCAGGTGGCCGCGGCCAGGCTCACGTTGATGATGGCGTCTGTCTGGATGTAGTCCATGTCCGAGTTCCGGAGCCCCAGCTCTTTGCCGCCACGCTGGGTGGTGCTGACGATCCCGGTGGTGACTGTGTTTTGAAGGGAAAACGGGCTCCCAATGGCGACCACGAACTCCCCCGGCCGCAGCTCTGAGGAGCGGCCAAGCAGCAGCACGGGCAGCTTCCCCTGGAACCACAACGTTGGCGTCACTGCGTTTGGTAACAGCACGGATATGCGCACTGATGTCGTGCACACTGAGCCATGGTGGGCACGCGGACACGCCAGGCCTTGCGGGAACCTGGGTCAGTCCTACAGCCCTGCCCACCCGCAGTAACCAACTCACTGCCATGAGCTGTAGGAGCTCTGGAGCCACATGCCAAGGAAAATGGGAAGGTTACCGAAGGCCACCTTAGGGGCTCAGCAGGTCTCAAAGCTATCAGCACAGTCTTACTCTGAAACCTTGAGACCAGGAGACAGAGGGAGACACATTGCAGATTTGCCTGGAGTTACCCTGGAGCACAAAGCCCAGGGGGGATACTGAGCCCACGTGCCACTGGGTGGAAGGCGCAGGCTGGAGCTGCGGGCCCTCACCACAGGCGCGTCCTCCTGAGTCCCAGGCAGTCGGGGGCACCGAGGGCCGGGGCTGCACTGACTCACACTGGTGCATCCTATGCCGAGGGGCAGAGATGGGGCTGGGGCAGCAGGGTATCCGGGACCCCAGACGCCACAACCCACAAGGTGGGCGCTCCCCTTGTCGGAGAAGTTCCTCCAAACCACCTCTGCTCCTGGCTCAGGCAGGCAGATTAGCCCAGGGAGCCCGGTCCTGGGTGCCCTGTGAAGGCTGGGCAGAGTCGAAGCCCCAAACATGCACACGAGGTGGAGTTCAAACCGAAATGGGACAAGCTAACGCCAGCTCGAGTCACCAGACCGAAGAGAGCGAGGCTTCCATCAGGGCTTCCATCGAGGCGGCCTTAGGCCCTCCCTTCCTCCCTCCCTCCTTTTCTCCCTAGAGCCAAGGAGCCCCTTCTGCCTTTGTTCTGAGTCAGAGCAAGCAGCTGCCCCCAACAATGTGGACCAGGCCTGGGAGGCAGCGCTCTGGTCCAGGCCTCACTCCAACTGCAATGCAAGGTCCCTCCTATTTGTCCACCTCCAAAGAGAAAGGAGCAAGGGGGTCGGGGAGGGTTGGGTGGGAGGAAACCAGCGGGGCTTCAGCATGTCCTCCACCAGGGATGGAGGAGACATCAGCAGACGAGGCAGGGTGACAGGGGGCCCATTTAACAGATGAAGAAACTGAGGCTCCGAGCAACGTGAGATAGCGTTAAGGAACTTAACCCAGGGCTGTGACCCTCAGCCACCACACACAGCAACACCTTGCCACCAAGATGCCCCTCCCCACCCCAATAAGGGAGGGGCCGCTCAGGAAGCTGCTGGGCCAGTGAGGTCACAGAGGAGAAAGGAATGCTGAAGTAAGGATCTAAGCCCTGAAGGTGACTTCAAGGGAGAGGTGGGAGAAGGGATACCCCTCCAGCACACCCTGAGAGGCCTGGTCCAGCATGGTGGCTGAGAGCACAGGCCCCTGGCCAAGCTACCCAACAAGATCCCAGCCTGAACTTCTGACCCTGGGTCCTCAGTGTCCCCATTAGAAAATGGGGATCATGTCACACATCCATCTCATCGGTTAGCTGTGAGAATTCAGCAACTTCAGATCTGAACATCTTTTGAGTAATCCTGGCTCATTTCAAGCATCACACAAGTGTTGGTTGTCGCTATTCGCATCAGGGTCTGTGCAGATGCAGTGGCGGAAACCTCACCAACTGATGTCCCACAAGCTAGTCCTAGTCACCCAGCACCTTCCCTGGGAGAAGCCTGGTGCCACAGGTCTGCACTGACAGTGACTCTTTGACCTTGGGGTCGCCTGAGGCCAGAGAGCACGGCGCTGCTCTGGAGGGGGGCAGGCCTGCAGCCTCACGCCCCGCCCCCCCCCCAAGCTCTCCAGGCCAGCATCCAGGCACACCAGCGAGCTCAGCAAGGCCTGTTTACCCTGGGCCCATGCCAGCCACCCCTGCCAGGAGTGACCTCATCCAACAGTCGCTGGGCAGAGGGTGGGTGGGAAGGAGTCCGCGTCAGTGATGGGGAGGCCCCCTGGGGACACTACTGCTCCTTCAGGGCCTGGGAACAGCCTTCAGGGCTGGGCTTGAGGGGTAAGCGAGGGGACACTGCGGTGAAGGCCCCTGGACCTGGGTCCATCTGGCTACCCAAGATAACCATGGCTTTTCACCTACTTCAGTGCACGCGATCAAGTTCAAATACAGAAAGGTGGGCTTGGCCGACATCAGCTCAGCCACAAGCTGGGAACCACATCAGAAAGTTACTTGCCACTCCACCTCCACAGCGCCCCCCACCCCAACGCCCTGGGCAGGCAGCCAGACCCAGGCTCCCAGGCCTCAGGGCGTTTAGAAGGCTGAGCAGCCAGAGACAGGGCTCTCTGGAACTCTCTTTCTCCAAGTCTGAGCCCAGGGCCTGAGACAGGGAAGGAGGCAAACGCTTGAGGCAGGGCGTGTGCCGAAGCGGTGAGGACACAGGGAGAGACCCCCACGAGGGAAGAACATCGAGGGCCTGCAGGCTGCTCAGCCACGCTGGCTGGGTGGGGCCAGGCCTCTGGGGGATGCCCAGGGAACCCTGTGGACAAGCGTGGCCCCAGTGCGATGAAGCCACCCATACTCAGGCAACCACGTGGGGTCAGACAAGCGGACATCAGCGATGCGTTGAGACCCCCAAAAACAGACCTCCACTGAGCACAGAGGAGGAAGCGCAGGTCTCCAGGGCTGGTCAGTCGAAGCTGTGCCGGTGGGCGACATCAGTCCTCACCTTGTGCAAGTTTTTATTCCTCCAAACGTTTCACCCACAACAGACAATCATTAAGAAAAAGCAAGTAGACACGTAACAAGGGGAGGGGCATGACAGGAAGCTTGAATCAAGATAAGGGAACGAACTGTTTATGGCCCAGATGACAAAGCACTGGGGACACAGAGCACCCTTCCCCCCATTTCACAGACATGTAAACTGAGGCTCAGAGGAGCAACTTCTCACAGCCAATGAGCAGCTTGGTCGAACGAGAAGGCAGGCTCCCCAGCTCTGAGGCCTGCTCTCCTAGGGCGTGTTGACCCAGAGTTCTAAGTGTTGGCAGGGGCCTTCGCAAGGGAGTGACATGGAGCAGAGGTGTGGCCCAGCCAGGTTTATGGCTCCGCCTGCAGCCGAAGTGCCTTTTGGGGGCCAGCTCTGGGGAGCTGGCTAGCCCCACAAGCATCAGGCTGCCCATCTGTCCCACAGCCAAGCAGGGCTCATTCTGTGCCCCCATCCTCACCTCGGGCCTGTCTGCTCAGTGCAGCTATAGGATGGCTGGCCAAATTCCTGTGCAGTAATTGAGCATTTTATTCCACGGCTGTCTAGACATATACTCCACGGGGGAACTCAGGCAGATGAAATGCAGATACCGCCAGAAGCGCAAAGCCACGCTGGGCCTTGACCTGCCCACGTGAAATGCTGCTGCTCACTCTTGCTCAGACCCTGCGGCGCTGTCTGCAGGCAGGTGCCTGCACCACCCGCATCAAAGCACCCCCAGGCTCCCAGCTGCAGGCGCCACCTGAGCTCCTCTGACGCAGGCCCGGCCACAGGCCCCCTTGGAGATGCCAGTCCCCTCCCAACGGCCACTTCCCAAGCCTTGCTGCCATCTCTCCAGAGCCTCGCCACATGCCTCCTAAGTGGAAGAGGGCAGACTGTCCTCCTCCACCTGGCCCTTGAAAAGGGCAGGGGGAGAGGGGAGAAAGAGGCCAGTGGCTCGTCAGCTGCTCCAGCCCCTTGGAGGATGAAAACGCAAGCCCAAGTCCATCAAAGCAGGAAGCTAGGAAAGCTCCTAGGTGGCCAAGGCCAAGCTTCCGGGCTTTGCGTCAGAGCTACGTTGGAGCCCTCAGGCCCCACCCAGAAAGCCCGCAGCTCAGGACTGGTCCAAGTCCTTCCAGGATGAGGGACAGCTCAGCTCCTCAGGCCACCCTCGTGCTCAAGAGAGCGGGGAGCCTGGGAGGCAGCAGAGGAAATGGTCCTCTGCGTTGAAGTGCACACCCCACCCCCACCCCCTGCACTCTGCGAGCCCTCACTGATGCCCAACGACTTCCTCACGACAGGGCCAATGAGAGTGACTAAGAAAACACAAGTCCACCTAACACCTGAGCTGTCAGCTGACTGCTACCCACGTTGATGGAGTACGAGTCTGGGGAGGGTGTCAGAGTCCTGGGTACAGAGTCCTGGGTGCAGACTCCAGACTTACTGGGACTGTGTTAAATTACTAAACACTGGCTGCAGGTGGGATATGAATTGTGTGGTTGTATTAATGCTAAAACTTGGAGGAGGCTGGTGGCTGGGCAGATTAAAGAAGGCTCTTGGCGTTTGCTAACAAACGAGGTCCTCGTTTGTAACAAATGAGGACCAGCAGGCCCGGTGGCCGTCTTCCTGGGGACACTGCCAACCCCAAAGGGAACTTTCTCAGCCAGCGCTCACCCAGCATCCCCGAAGCACCTGGTACAGTGAACACTAAGACCGGTGAAACCCGCCTGTGCCCCCCAGGCTCACGGTCTGATGGGCAGAGAGCCACACAAGCTACCAGAGTGCATAGCATTAGAAATAAACAAAATCCAAGTCTCCATTTCCAAGGTCAGCTCAGCCTAGAATCTTCCATAAGGGCTAAATATAGATCAACAGCCAAAATGACTTGGGGGCAGCCATGGGGGTGTTTTCAGCTGCACGTAACAGAAAACCCAACTCGAAATAGAGTGAGTAGCCACTAGTCCAAGGGCAGGCTCAAGGACAATAGAAGAAGAGGCTCCCTCCTTCTGTCTGACTGGCCTGTTGTCACGGTCATGAGACGGTTGTCATTGTGCCAGGCATCATGTAAAGACATGACAACGCCCAGAGGAAGGGAAGACCTTTCACCTTGGGTGTCTCTTCAGAAGGGCAGAGGATCCAGACGGGCCCTGAACATTCCTCATCGTGGGTCACTGGCCAGCAACGAGGCATAAGGTTGCCCCCCGTCCACCCACTGGTGAGGGGACGTGGCCTCGTGACAGCCTTGCTGGCTCAGGGTTGGCCTACTTTAGGAATGGGTGGGACAGGAGTGAACCTAAAACGAACTT